AGACATGGCTGTGCATTTCATTGAGTCCCAGTGTGGTCTTAGGGGACAGAGGGCTGTGAACTTGGAAAGGGCCACTCCCTTCGACTTCATGCCATTCGTACTTGAACTTGGCCATGGAAATAGGTCTGTATGTCCGCCCATTAAAACAACAAGAGCCCTAACCGGTTTGGCTCAGTGGATAGAGCGTTGGCCTGCAGACTGAAGGGTCCCAGGTTTGATTCCGGTCAAGGGCATGTACCCTGGTTGCAGGCACATCCCCAGTAGGGGGGGGTGTGCAGGAGGCAGCTGATCCATGTTTCTCTCTCATCGATGTTCCTAACTCTCTATCCCTCTCCCTCCCTCCTGGAAAAAAAAATCAATAAAATATATTTTAAAAAACAACAACAACAAGATCGACATGCAGGAAATGCAACATCACCATGAAGGAGGCAAGAAGGGGATATTTTCATGGGATCGGGGGCTTCCTGTGTCAATGTTAAAATGGTTTTTCCGATTTTATTTTCACTTCTTAAGATCTCTATTTTAGCGAAGACGGCTGAACGCATAGCTTTTCCAATGCCTAGAAATTTTATTTTGTGCTAAAAATTTCCTATACATAATTCTCTCTTTAATAACAGCTGTAGTCACCATGCAACGATGTTAACGAAGCCAAAAGCATTTTATCTACTTCTTGCTATTCAGATCGAGTTTCGGGAGCATAATTTTCTTCCATTTTAGTTCTTATTATTCCAATGTCAGCAGAAAAAAAAATTTTTTTCTCTACCCTTAAGTCGCTCTGTTTCCAATTCTCTTTCAAAATTTTTTATTATTTTATAAAAAACTAAGTTCTGATTACACAGTAAACTATCAACTATGGCTTTATTACATTACATCCATGAGAAGGCGCATGTGATTTGTGGGGTTGATACACTTTCTCATGTTCACGGGTTCAATGACAGTAGGGTGCCCTCCTCTAATTACAGTGGGGCCTTGACTTACGAGTGTCCCGACTAACGAGTTTTTCGAGATACGAGCCGCCTCTCAACCGATGTTTTGCTTTGAGTTGCGAGCTAAAATTCGGGTTACGAGCCAGCTTCAGATACCCCACCGCTAGTTGGCGCAGCGAACGTCACAGTGAACACCACAACATCAGCCCAGCATCACGTGTCTCACTCGTTCACTTTTGATTTGACATACGAGTAATTTGAGTTACGAGCTCCGTCACGGAACGAATTAAACTCATAAGTCAAGGCCCCACTGTATATCAAAACTATGGAAACACTGGAATCCGGTAACTGTCCCCCTTGGAACTGGGCATTTATGTGAGACATTGTCACCTCTGCCCCGCCTAATGGCTCCTTGGGGAACAAGCTCACCGGGATTGAGAACCACTGGGCCACCAGGCCATTACAGGGCCTTGCAGGCCACGCCGGGAACGATTAGTCCGTGGGATCCGACTTGTATTTGGAAAAAAATCACTCCATCTGCTCAGTACATGCAGAGACTGACTGGGAGGGGGGCGGGGCTTTGCAAGAAGTTCTCCACTGGAGGGATAATGAAGGTTTGGACCAAGAACAAGGCCTCCAGATGGAGAGACGCTGAAAGATGCAAGAGGTGTTAGGAGTGGAAGGCAAGAGGTATTGAGAGTCTTGCCCTGTGCCTTTTTTTATGACCCTTTTTCCTATGTCTGCCCCTGCTCAAGGCCTGGAGAGGAGCCAGCACAGCAAGGCCCCTGCTATTCTCCACCTGATTTCAGTCAGCTGCGTTCTTGCTCAGATTCAACAGACCTGCTTTGCTTGTTACTTATTGCTTATCCCTGTAATTTTTTTAAAATATATTTTTATTGCTTTCAGAGAGGAAGGGAGATGGAGAGAGATAGAACCATCAATGACGAGAGAGAATCGTGGATCGGCTGCCTCCTGCACGCTCCACACTGGGGATCCAGCCTGCAACCCGGGCATGTGCCCTGACCTGGAATCGAACCGTGACCTCCTGGTTCATAGGCCAACGCTCAGCCACTGAGCCACACCAGCCAGGCTATGTTTGTAATTTCTAACTCAGCACTTTTTATTACTAAGGTTAACCTTGACACTGTCCGTGACCCAAAGGACGTTGCTTGTGTTTCCTCTTAAGGTGACAATCAGGGCACATCAACCCCTTCCAAGGCTCCCCCCATTTTTCCCGGGGGGGGGGTAGGATGACTGGAGGCCTGTCACCTTCCCCTGATTCACTTCACAAGGAAAACCCAGGGAGGAATCCTAAGTTTAGAGGGAAAATCTCATCATGACATCACCACAGCCCGAGCAGCTGACCTCAATAGTGGAGCCCAAGAAACTGGAAAATCGAATTTTTAATAGGATGAGTTCAAGGGAAGTGGGTCCCCTGGATACAATTTGGGGGACACTTGCGACTAACAGAAATGAGAATCTGAAGGCCCGGTAGGATCGAGGTAGCCCGCTTTTCTGTTTTCTTGATCATTCAAAAAGCCTGGGCAAACCTTGTCATTACTGACAAATACCACCTAGAAGACGGCTAACTCCCATCTGGAGGTGAATTTTTAAAAAATATATATATTTTATTGATTTTTTTACAGAGAGGAAGGGAGAGGGATAGAGAGTCAGAAACATCGATGAGAGAGAAACATCGATCAGCTGCCTCCTGCACACTCCCCACTGGGTATGTGCCCGCAACCAAGGTACATGCTCTTGACCAGAATCGAACCTGGGACCCTTGAGTCCGCAGGCTGACGCTCTATCCACTGAGCCAAACCGGCTAGGGCTTGAGGTGAGTTTAATGGAAAGGTTTTATGCAGGTGAAGTTTGCCTCCTTGTTGCATGGGAGACCCGTCTCACTAACGCAGGCTCTGAGACCAGGAGTAACCTGTTCAAATGAAATAAAGCCTATTCATCTTGCCAGAATTCACCTGCTCCGTCATTTAACACCAACCAGATGATGTAATCTGCCCCGTCCTTACTTACGGGGATGCTTCTAAAGAGGCAACCAGCCCTGGCTGGTTTGGCTTAGTGCAGTGGTCGGCAAACTCATTAGTCAACAGACCCAAATATCAACAGTACAACAATTGAAATTTCTTTTAAGAGCCAAATTTTTTAAACTTAAACTATATAGGTAGGTACATTGTTATTAACTTAATTAGGGTACTCCTAAGGCTTAGGAAGAGCCACACTCAAGGGGCCAAAGAGCCGCATGTGGCTCGTGAGCCGCAGTTTGCCGACCACGGGCTTAGTGGATAGAGCATCGGCCTGCGGACTGAAGGGTCCCGGGGTCGATTCCGGTCAAGGGCACATGCCTAGGTTGTGGGCTTGGTCCCCAGTGGGGGGCATGCAGGAGGCAGCCAATCAATGATTCCCTCTCATCATTGATGTTTCTATCTCTCTCTTCCTCTCCCTTCCTCTCTGAAATTAATAAAAATATATTTAAAAAAATAAAGAGGTAATCAAACATTATCGCCTCCGTCTGTTTAGGAATAATGAGGCCACTGCCTGGGTCTTCATCATACCACAACCAAGAGGCCACCCCCTCGAACCCCGCCAAACACACACGCAACCCAAGTCCAGATCTTGTTGGAGAGAGCAGGTTTGTGTCTTATTTTGATGAGGGCGGGGGGAGTAAAGGGGAGGCTAAATGTTTATTAAACCAAGCTTTTAAGTTAGATCTACCTACAGTTCGTAAACAAACACGGTACGCATGTCAGTAAAAGGCTCCAAGGTTAGAACAGGTGCAAAAACTAAAGCTCCGTTTCCACCACTCCTGGGGCCGATGTCCTGTGAGTTGTTACAGCTCAGAGTTAACTGCAAAACCTGAAGGAGTTTCGCTCAACTCCACCTGCCAGCATGGATTTCAAGACTTCCACGTTTTCCTCGTTAGAGTCGGTTGGGTGAGAGCGAAGCAACAGTATTGTTTTTTACATGCGAAGACGGGCTGAAATAACACAAATTAAGCTTCTCTTCTAGATTTCTCCCTCCCTATGACCACAGTTAGTAAGACATGAGATGTCAAAGAAGCGCTAGACCACAGGTAGTTACAAAAATAGGTAACTCGTAGGATAATGAGCGCCTGCCGTTAGCAGAGCGCACGTCTGACAAATTTCATACCTTTTCAGGTGCCGGAGAAAGGTGTTCGTTCGCCTGCAGGTGTCCCCGAGGCACTCTGCTATGAAACTGCCCAAGGGGGTGGCCTGGAGAAGCTGCTGGCCCCTGGACGCTGGGGACCCCCGGGCACTGCAGGAGTCATATTCGGGGGAAGCCACCTGCGCCCCAGGAGCCTGCAGACAGAAAGAACCACACTGTGACCAGCAAGCAGGCTCCTTCTTCTTATACTAGAGTCACTACAGTGCCCTCTGCTGACAAAGCTGAACATCCGGCGGGTCCGGGCAGAGGGAAAATATTTAAAGGAGCCCACTGTGCTTTCACCGAGCAGCCAAAAAGGATGCACGTGCAGCTGAGAGGCAGTAAGCTGGTGACTGGCACAGGTGTGTCCGTACAAATCCTCATACAAGTATGTATATGGGTGACATCTGTTATTTCCATCATTCGGTGCCCGTTCTATTTGCATCCTGTCAATTATTTTAGTTCATTGTGAGGGCCAGGATTTTTTTTTCTTTCTAATTTATGAATCCCAGGGCTTGCCAGAAATTTCCATTGTCTGTTCTCAGGACATACTTGCTAAGTGTGAAAGTGCAAACAGTCCAGCCACACTAGAACAGACAGACTCTGGAGCCGGTTGCTTACGTTTGAATATGATTCCGCCACTTACTGGCTGAATGACCTTGAACAATGGTTTCACCTTGCCTGTGCCTCGGTTTCCTCATCTGTATAATGGGAACACGAGTACCCAACTTACTGTGCCAATTAGATAAATTAATATGGAAATATCTCACTTGCTAGCAGTAATCCCTTTCTGAAAAATCAGATTTCTGCAGGGAAACCTGGAGCCTGTGTTATTTTTAAAAAGAAAAACTTGAATATGTCACAAACCAACCAACTTTACCCCCCTCTCCCACCAAGCAATTTCTTAAACTGTAACTAAAGATAGTAAATCCCTCCACATAAACCATCATACTATGATAGCAAATGCTCTAAACATGACTGGTGATGACCAAATGTTATTAACAAATGGTGTTTCCTATGCATGACCCTCTCCTCTTCTCTGTAGTCATTTTTCTCTCTCACTTTGCTTCTTCTCTACAGTGTTCTCCAATGCTTTCCCAAAGTGGTTTTGAACTCCATAATGCCAGGCAAAAACAAGGGCTAAATAGGAAAGTCAGCAGGACACAGGTTCAAGGCCAAGGCACAAGGGCAGGTAAAGGTGTACACAGGGCAGCATGGGCTTCCAGAAACAACAAAAAATTCTGTTTCTTTGTTATGGGGTGAAGCCACAACATTAGAAACAAAGAAACAGAATTTCTGGAGGAAGAGGCCCAGAAATCAGGATTTTAACAAGATTCCCAGGTGATTCTAATGTGCAGCCAAGGTTGAGAACCACTGCTTTAGAACATGCAAGACCCTGACCAGTTTGGCTCAGTGGATAGAGTGTAGGCCTGCAGACCGAAGGGTACCAGGTTCGATTCCGGTCAAGGGCATGTACCTTGGTTTCGGGCACATCCCCAGTAGGGGGCGTGCAGGAGGCAGCTGATCCATGTTTCTCTCTCATCGATGTTTCTAACTCTCTAACCCTCTCCCTTCTTCTCTGTAAAAAATCAATAAAACATTTTAAAATAAATAAAATAAAACACGATGCAAGGGTTTATTAATCTTATTCATCTGGCTCATTAACCTTACCAATAGATGTATTCTGTCATCCACTCACTCATTCTTACCTTTCTTCCTTCCAAAAATAGTTTGGGGGCTCCCAAGGCGGGCCAGGCCCCGTTGCTGGCCTTAGGGGATAAACTGGTGGATGAGATATGGCCCCTACTTTCAAGGAGCCAACAAATTAGGGGGGAAATAAGGGCTCGGTTGTGGCAGCTGCTTGGAGGGAGCGCAAGGCTGCGACAGCAGGTGACTAGCTCACCTTAGGGAGAAGCTGGCCCGGGAGGGAGGCAGGAGGAGGAGCACCCCCTGGAGGAGGGGCCCGCGCACTGGGTCTGCACCGCGCGGTCGGGCGCGGGGCAGAAAAGTGAGACTGAATCCCTGACCACGCAGGACCCGAGGGGAGAACTCGAGATTCTATTATTCGTTTTGCAACTGGAAGCCAGACCTTTCTCTCCAGCCCAAGCCGGGGGCTGCGGCCGCGACCTCCGGGCTAGTTGGCCCCGCCCCGGAACCTTGTGTCGCCGGAACTCGCGGTCCCAGTTCCTCGCGTTCCCCACCCGGCGCAGCTCTCGTACGGCACTTCCGGTTGAGAAAACATGGCCGCGGCCGTGCGCGACTCACGTGGGAGTGCGGGGAAGAAGCTGAAACACGCTGTCAAGAGGAAAAAGAAGATGAAAACGGTAGCCAAGGCTGCAGCATTGGAGCTGGAAGATGAGGGCCAAGACGCTGCCGACGTGGGAGGTAACGTACCGCGGCGGGGCGTTGGCCGATCGCTGGAAAGGCCGGGCGTTAGTTTGCGGGCAGCCGGGGATGCGGCGCCTTTGCTCCGAGCCGCCCGGACTTCACCTCCGCCGGGCGCCCTATAATACATTGCTGGGATGACAGTCATGACCATTACGATAGCAATTTCCATCTTCGTACAGAGCATTGGCCCCAATCGGGATGTGTTGGGTTCTGCACGCACTGATCCGGCCTCTGCATTGGCCCGGGTTTCGGCATCTGACTTCTTTCAAACCCTTGCTCTACCCTTAAAAAAACAAACAAAAAAAAAACTTGCGTATCAGCTTTGTGGACGATACCCCCAAACGGTCGCTCTTTTTTTCATTGTCTTTCTTTGAGAAGAACATTGCCCACACTTTTGCAGTTGGTTAAACTGATCTATCTTACCCTTCAAGGCGTGTGATCCCTGCAGCGATTCTCAACTTGTGGGTCGCGACCCCTTGGGCGGTCGAACGACCCTTTCACAGGGGTCACCTAAGACCATCCTGCCTATCAGATATTTACATGACGATTCATAACAGTAGCAACATGACAGTGATGAAGTAGCAACGAAAATAATTTTATGGTTGGGTCACAACATGAGGAACTGTATTTAAAGGGCCAGAAGGTTGAGAACCACTGCTTTAGGGCGAGAAACTTGGAGGGTTTTTCCTTTTTCCCTTCCCTCCCTCATCCTCCCTGAGGACTCAGCGCATCATATGGAGGGGCTGGGAGGCTTCTTAAAACTGGGTCCCCGTTCCATATGCTAATAAATAAGGTCAGTGGCTCGCTCTCCTGCCGGCCTGTGGCCATATCTGGGGATCAGGGACAGATGGCGAGTTTGAAAGGGAGAGGAGATGAGAAATGCCAGTGTCTGCTGCCCTGCCCTAGATGTTAGCCACGAATTAAAATGAAGTAAAAATGTAAAACTCCAGGTTTGAAGCCCGCAGGAGGCTTCCCGTGAATGCAGAAAGGTCTACTTGGAACCCTTAGTTATTGCTTCCCGAGGGCCCCGAATTCTCAAAAAAACCCACAAAAGTGTGCAGGATGGTCAGGCCTGTGGCTGATCGCCTCTCCCGGTGATTCTCAGTAGCGTTATAATACTTCCAATGTTGGCGTTCTCTAGTCCTTCCTTATTTCCAGTTTTAAAATAGAATTCCAGGTGAGAGTTCATGTTTAAAATGACACACAGGACTTCAGAAGATTTTTTTTTTTTTTGCGTATCTGGTTCCCTGAGACCTATGGTTATATCCACTTACCTTCTGCTATTAAAGTTCACTTATTTGAGGGGGTGGGAGTGACCGGGGAGAGGTCAATGGGGGGAAAAGGAGACATATATAATACTTTAAACAATAAAGAATTTAAAAAAAAATAAAATAAAGATTACTTAGTTGAAAACTCAAAAAAAAATCTCATCTGTATGTGATGCAGTATGCTTTGAAGAACCAGTTCTGCTTTCCGATCCGCATGGTGATTATCTTTGGTATCCTAGCAGTAGGCCCTGCGTTCTGGTGGCTGGAAGAACTCATTGCATTGGCGTTTTTCATTTACTTACATAAAAATCATCATTTCCATTGGCAGTGAATGCCTGGCTTAAATCTTCTGGGCTAAAGCTTCTTTTTAAAAAAATAAATAAAAACTATGACATCAGTGACTTCTTCTGGGTTGTTGTTTTGGTTTTTTTTTAATTGGTGGGGTGAGTGCTGGTTTATAACATGGCGTTAGAAAACTTTTCACAGATGTATCGTGTTCCCGTATGTGAGTGTTATGGTAGCCAAACTGGGGAGGAAACACACCAAAGAAAATAGTCCGTTTAGAAGTGGAGAGTCGGAGTGGCTTACGGTCGCGAAGCCTTTGGCCGCCTCTACAGTGCAGCTGAAAAAACGTGAAACGTACTGCGATTTGTGTGAGAATTCATCAGGACAAAACACTAGATGTCAGTGTTGTAGTTGGTCAAGACTTCTGCTTTTCAGCATCCGGCATTCTTCACTGATAAACCTTTAAGCCATCCTGTTCTTTACATTTAGATAAATGCTTACTATGTTTTTATTGGCTGTTTTCTAATATGTTACAGATTTTTTGAACTATATTAAAATACTTAGTTTTTACATCCTTTTCATGAATTCTCAGCACTTCAAAAATAAAGGTATTGTGCAAAAGTAATGCCAACATTGGGAGTATTATAACGACCAGCTAAAAGGTCAGCTCTTTCCATCATTTCTCTCTTTTAAACCAATTTTAATTGAATTTATTGGGGTGACATTGGTTAATAAAATTATACAGGTTTCAGGTGTACAATTCTATAATACTTCATCTGTATATTGTGTTGTGTGCTCACCACCCCAAGTCTTCCATCACCATTTATTCCCCCTGCTGTTTTCTGTGTCCGTGAGTTTTTTTGGTTTTTTGTGTGTCTGCCTAGTTCTTAGGTCTTAATCCCTTCATCTTTTTCACTCAGGCCCACAGCCTTCCTCCCGTCTGACAGCTGTCAGTCTATTTTCTATCTATGAGTCCGTTTCTGTTCTGTTTGATAGTTTATTTTGTTCATTAGATTCCACATGCAGATTGGTGCGGCCACTGTGGAAAGCAGTATGGAGTTACCTCAAAAGCTTAAAAATGGAGCTGCCTTTTGACCCAGCAATTCCACTTCTGGGATTGGATTTTTTTTTTTTTTTTGTATTGTTTTTTGGTTTTTTGGTTTTGTTTTGTTTTGTTTTTGCTGCCTGGGTCCTGGGTCCTGACCCT